TAATACCCCTAGCTTGTTTACACATGTATATGTCCTTCCTTCATAAATTGTTTTGGCACTTGTGGTGGTACTAAAACTTGGATGGACTCAAACTATGAGTGTCCTCTTTTTTTTCACCCAATATCTGGAGCCCATATTGGAATCCTGATTAAATCTGTATCGCACATTGCATGGTTCATCTGCGGGTGGCGCTAGCTCCAAACAAGATTTTCTCCATACTCGGGCTCAAAAGTCAAACTCGAGACTTCTGGTTGATGAAGCAGTTTCACCACTGCACCACGTTGGCAACTATGAGTGTCCTTTGCTCCTATAATAAAGGCTTTTGATTTTGTCCTTTGTTTGGATCACCCCATTGCTATAGAAAGGGGAATTGGGCTTTTCCTCTCTTCTGTTTAGGGGTAAAATAGTGTCACTAAGTTTACACCAAGCCAAAAGTCTGACTAAAACCCAGAGTTGGATATAACAATACATGCAGTGAATAAGACTAGCCATTGGTCCTTGGTCATGGTCCCCTCCTCTCCCACTCTGCTAGTGACAGATTCAAAATTTGAAGTTTACGAGTTTTTATATCCATTTTGTTTACATACATAAGGTTCATAGTCAAATACTCAGATATTTTAATAGATTTTTTAATACATATACAGAGTCTAAGCAAGAAGTTGTTAGGTTCCGTTAAATCATAAGTAATTACATGTGGATCTGCCTTTATCCTTGATAGATTCGAGATTTGAACTTCATAAGTTTAAGTATTACCAAATTAGGTTTCGAGAATGTGTATAAGTAAATATATATATATATATATATTGTTTAGTGTAAACAATTTTACGGCATCAAATTATCTTTACATATTATATCAGCCATAGGCCCTAGTAGGGGTGTACATGACCGGGTTGGTTCGGGTTTTTCAAATATCAAACCAAACCATTTGTGTAAAAACTTTAAATTTATAAACCAAACCAAACTAATAAAATTCGGATTTTTTCGGGTTTTTCAACCTCGGGTTGGTTCGGATATTTCAAATACCAAACCAAACCATTGTGTCGAATTTTTAAATTTATAAATCAAACCAAACTAATAAACCTCGGATTTTTTCAGATTTTTGGATTTTTTCGGTAAAGTTTGCATACAAACATATAATTAACTTGTGCTCCAAATATTTCTTTAGTCCAACCAAAATACAATTATCTAAGGTGTTTCTTAA